TGGCTTTTTTTTTAAAAAAAAAAAAAAAAAAGAAAAGAGAAAAACACACCTCACCCCCACAAAAGTTTGCCACTTGTCCCATCCCTGGCTCTGTGTTTTGGGGGAATTATTCCCCCCCTTTATTTAATGGGGTGACTGATTTATTTTTTCCATGGGGATGGGGTGGGGGGTTGGATGAAGTCCCCATTTGCACGGCTCATCCTCCCCCTCCCCTGCCGGCTATAAAATCTTTAATGTAGCCCCATTTAAAAAATATATATATATATTTTTTTAAATATTTCAAATATTTTACAGCTTTTCCTTTTAAAATAAATAAAGGCAATGTATTGCTGCAGAAGGCTGGGAAATGAGCCCAAGGAGGGGGGAAGCCATCTAAAGTTAGCATCCCACCCCCCTCCCTTCACTCTCAGTGGCTGGCTGATCGCATCCACGCATTGACCAGCACGCGGCTGCGCTCCGGCTCGTGGTGGAGCAAGAGCGAATGCTACTTGGCTTGCAGAGCGTGGCAGGTCATGCGGTATTTGAGGCTGACCATTACTGCACGCTGGGGTTTTGGGGTTTTTTGTTTTTTTGGTTTTTTTTTTTTTTTTTTTTTTCCCCTTTGTAAGCCAGGGGATTGCATTCATAACAAGGGAGATGTCGGTCTGGCTGTCTCACTTGGTTGACAACTACTTATAGGTGAACTTGGCTCTCCTCAAGGAAGAAGTCAGAGGCTGGCACTGCATATACTGTTCAAGCACTAATGTGACAGCTGGCTAAAATACACGTAACCCCTTCATATATTTAAAAAAAAAAAAAAAAAGTGATTATATGTAGACAAAATAGAAATATAAAATATATCATAATAAAAAATTCTAGGAAACTTCCCCCCCCCCGCATATAGACCTAAGTGTCCAGTTTCTCAGCTTGCTTGAAGCTGACCCAGGCCCTGAAGGCAGAACTACTACATCCAAACTCAACCAGAGTTTCCTCATTGCTGATGGAGACAATTGTATATAAATCTAGACTTTTTTTTTTTCCCCCTTTCCTCCCTATTTCTGCAGAGTCAAGATGGCTAAAGGTGACCCGAAGAAGCCGAAGGGAAAGATGTCTGCTTATGCCTTCTTTGTGCAGACCTGCCGTGAAGAACATAAGAAAAAGAACCCAGAAGTCCCAGTCAACTTTGCAGAGTTTTCCAAGAAGTGCTCAGAGAGGTGGAAGGTAAAGTAACCTGGGGCCATGCCTTGAAGTGACAGCGGTTCCTCTGGCATCATAACTTCCTGTGGCAATTTTGGTATTCAAACCAAGGGTCCCCTCTTTCCTTATATTTTAACCCTGTACTGAAAAAATGTTGGAGAATTTCCCCCCCCCCCCCCCCCCCCCCCCA